ATTCCCAGAATATATATTTATGTCTTTTAATTGACCAGACTTTGGTAGCTACAAAATGAAGTTTTAACTACAGAATGATTTTTGGAAAAGGATTCTTTATGAATTACACACCATATTGAAGAAACTACCTAAACAAAATATGATAGTTTAATGAATTTATGAGAAATGTTTTAATAAATACTATGTGATATTTTAAGCATTAAAATCCTAGTTAGAGATTTCTCAGACTTTTCTACATGACAGTTTTAAAATACTCTAATACAAGCTAGTCTTTTCATAGTCTATCTTCCTACCTTGATACTATTTGAGTATTTTTTGAAACCTGCTGAGTATTACAGAAGGTCCACAAAATACTGCAGTTAAAGCATCTTTATATGATTTTTTCACCTCTCTCAATTTCCTTACTTCTAAAATAAGGGGAAGGATTAAATGTTCTCAAGGGCCCCTTCCTTCAGTTATTCAATGACCAACTGAAGTCAGAGATCTTGCCCTGTTATGTCATATTCCAAGGCTTCTTCAACTTTATTCCAGAGAATGCTATCCAAAATGTTAATATATATGAAGGAGGAAAAAGTTCTATAGCCAATTCAGTCAATAAATATTTGCAGAAAGAACACTATGCCAGGGAATATTCTAGGCCTTGGGAACACAACAGTGAATAATACAAAGTCCTTACCCATTGGAGTTTACTTTCTAATGGGGGCAAGGGACAATTAACAAATATAGTATGTGAGGCAGTAAAAGAGAGTAAGTACTAATAAGAAAAACAAAGGACTGTAACAGAAACGGCAAGTGTTGGTAGGGTGGGAGTACTTTTATGTTTCGGTTAGTTTTGCATGGTATGTATTTTTTTCCATGCCTATGTTTTTAATTTATTTATGTCTTTTTATTAAAGTGGGTTTTTCCCAGATAACACAGACTTGCATCTTGATATTTTCATCCAATCCAATAATTTCTTTTAAAGTTAATGACTTTAGATCACTTATACTTAACATAATTATTGACGTGGTCTATCATTTTATTGTCTGTTATGTTGTTTATTCTCTGTGCTTTTTATTTCTCTGATTGCTGTTATCCCCATATTTTGGGAACTTTTTTGGTATTAGTATGTTAACATTTATTTTGACTTTTTGGCTCTATCTTTTTGTGTAACTTTTAGTGGTCCTGGTCCTTCCTTCTAGAGATTATAGATAGATCCACTGACAGATTGATAGATCGATATCCAATCTTTCACAGTCTATAGAGTTAATATTGTACCTGGTCAAATAAAATATAGAAATCTTACAACCAAATAGGACCTTTTAATTCCACCTTCCTTCTGGCCTGTATATTATAGCTTTATATCTATATCCACTAAAAACCTCTCAGAGATCTTCTTTACCCATTCATCTACTGATGGACATTTAGATTGCTTTCATTTCTTGGCTATTGTAAGTAGTATTGCTATAAACATAGGGGTGCATCTGTCTTTTTCAAACTGGGATGCTGCATTCTTAGGATAAATTCCTAGAAGTGAAATTCCTGGGTCAAATGGTATTTCTATTTTGAGCATTTTGAGGAATCTCCATACTGCTTTCCACAATGGTTGAACTAATTTACATTCCCACCAGCAGTGTAGGAGGTTCCCTTTCCTCCACAACCTCGCCAACATTTGCTGTTGTTTGTCTTTTGGAAAAAAACAAATCCTACCACTTGCAACAACATGGATGGAGCTATAGGGTATTATGCTCAGTGAAATAAGCCAGGCGGAAAGAGACAAGTACCAAATGATTTCAATCATATGTGGAGTATAAGAACAAAGAAAAACTGAAGGAACAAAACAGCAGCACAATCACAGAACCCAAGAATGGACTAACAGTTACCAAAGGGAAAGGGACTGAGGAGGATGGGTGGGAAGGGATGGATAAGGGCAGGGAAAAAGAAAGAGGGCATTACGATGGGGGGGCGCACCGGGAGGGCTGTACAACACAGAGAAGACAAGTAGTGATTCTACAGCATCTTACTACGCTGATGGACAGTGACTGTAATGGGGATTGTGGGGGGGACTTGGTGAAGGGAGGACCCTAGTAAACATAATGTTCTTCATGTAATTGTAGATTAATGATACCAAAATAAAAATAATAAAAATCTCTCAGAGAGTGGGATAACTTAGGAAGAATATTCATCCTTTATGCTTACCAGATATTTACCATTTCAAATGGTCTCACTCAATATACATCTGACATCATTTTCTCTGAACCTGAAGAACTTCCACTAGCAATTCATTAAAGCAGATCAGATAGAAATACTCAGTTTTTGTTTTTCTTCACCTTAGAATGCCTTTATTTCATCCTCATGCTTGAAGGGTATTTCTACTAGAGAGATAACTCTGGTGTTAACAGTTATTTTCTTCTAGTACTTGAAAGGTATTCCACAGTCTTTTGAAAAGTATGCCATGGTTTCTGATAAGAAATATGGACTTATTCAAATTATTGTTCCCTTGTACATATCCTTTTTTTTTCCAGGTACTTTTAAGATTTTTTCTTTATTTTTGATTTCCACAGTTTAACTGCTAGGAATGTTTAGGAATGGTTTTCTTCAAGCTTATCCTGATTGGGGTTCAGAGCTTCTTTCATTCACAAATTTATTACCGAGTTGGCAAAATTTATGTCATTAGTCGGTGTGAGAAGTTTCCAGCTATTATTTCTTCAAATATTTTTTTCTGCTCCAATTTCTTTCTCTTTCTCCTTCTGGACATATTCGTTAGATCTTTTGATATTAGCTGACAAGACAAGAGTTAATATTGGACCTGGTCAAATAAAACCTAGAAATCTTACAACTAAATAGACCCTTTTAATCCCACCTTCCTGCTAGCCTGTATGTTGTAACTACCATGAATTTTATATCTACACCCACAGAAAACCTCTATTAATTCTTTTCTTTTTAATCCCTATTCTGCAAATTGATTAATTTATAATGATCTGTCTTTACCTTCTGATTCTTTCTGCTGATACAACCATCCCCCTACTGAGTTAATCTAGGATGTTATTTCAAATATAAAAAAAAAATCAGGTTTATTTCAGATATGACATGGATTTCAACAAATTTCTACCTGATGATCTGTACAGTCTTCTCAAGATATTCTGGGAAACATTATCTACCCTTTCATGACCACCTGGGGCATAATGGGTATAGGATACCCCCCTCCCTGGCATAACTTACCATCTAATCATAAGTAGCCTTAATACTGCCTACTAGTGATGTATGTAAGATGAGAAATATCTATTCAAGTCCTTTATCCATTGTTGTTTTTTAATTATTATGAATTCTTTATATATTCTAGATACTAACTCCTATCAGACATATGACTTGAAAATATTTTCTCCCATTGTGTGGGTTGCCTCTTCACACTATTGATGGTGTCATTTGATGCACAGTTTTTAAATTTGATCCAGTCTAAATTACCTATTTGTTCTTCTGTTGCTCGCCTTTGCATGTTGTATCTAAGAATCCTTTGACAAATCCAATGTCAAGAAGCTTTTGCCAATGTTTTCTTCTACTAGTTTTATACTTTGAGCACTTACATTTAAGTCTTTGATCCATTTTGACTTATTTCATATATCTGGTATCAGGCAGGGGGTCTAAATTTATTCTCTAGCGTGTGGATATCCAGTTTTCCAGTACCATTTGTTGAAAAGAAAAGCCTTTTTCCATTGAATGGTCTTGCACCCTTGTTGAAAATCAGTTGGCCATATCTGTGAGGGTTTATTTCTGGACTCTCACATATATATGCCTTAATTTATGCCAATGCTATACTGCTTTAATTATTTAGCTTTATAGTAAGTTTCAAATCACAAAGTGTGAGAATTTCAACTCTGTTCTTCTCTTTCAAGACTGTTTTGCCTATTCAGGGTCCATATGAACATTAGGATAGACTTCTCTATTTTTTGCAAAGACATCACTGGAATTCTTATAGGAATTAGACTGAAAATATAAATCAATTTGGGAATACTGATATCATAACAATATCAAATCTTCCAATCCACAAACACAGGATGTCTTCTTTAACTTCTTTCAGCAATATTTTACAGTTTTCAAGGTATAAGCCTTTTGCCTCCTTGGTCAGATTTATTCCAAGGTATTCTATTCTTTTTGATGCTAATGTAAATGGGACTATTTTCTTAATTTCCTTTCTATATTGTTCATTGTTAGCACACAGATGCAACTAATTTTTAATGTGTTGATTCTTAAGATAATTTTACTTCTTCCTTTCTAATCTGGATGCCTTTTATTTCTTTTTCTTGACTAATTACTCTGGATAAAACTTCCAATATTATGTTGAATTGAAGCAACAAAGCAGGCATCTTTGTTTTGTTCCTGGTTGTAAAGGAAAGCTCCAGTCTTTCACCACTGAATGTGGTGTTAGTTAGCTTTAATATGCTGAGGTAGTTTCTTTCTAGTCTTACTCTGCTGAGTATTTTATCATGAAGGTGTTGAATTTTGTCAAATACTTTTTCTGTCTTGAGAAAATCATGTGTTTTTCCCCCTTCATGCTGTTAATGTGATATAATACAATGAATGATTTTCATACATTGTTCCTGTTCTTTTTTAAGTATTGGATAATAACCTAGATAGAAAAATCCACATTTAATTATTTAAACTCAAGAAGTAAAAGAGGAGAAATTGTGCCTAATTTCTTAAAATTATAAATGGCTTCATTTTTCACAGCAATAAAGATGATTTCTTTCAAAAAGTCCAAAATTTTAAATTTATAAATACTGGTTAATTTATAGGTAACAACAATTTTTTTTAAGTTTAACAAATAATGTCCTACAGAGTTTCAATCCAACTACAACTCTTAATGACTAGCACAAAGAGTAAATGAACCAACCCTTGATTTATATCCCAGAAAGTACACTGGAGCAAAACTGACAAAAAACCCATCAGCAGAGTTCTGGAGCCATTATATCACTAGTAAAAACTCGGGCTTGCTTACCAGGAACTGGTCCTGATGTATATCAACATGGCAGAAAAGTCTTGGCCTTTTAAACAATTTCCAACCCATGAACAAAAAAGAAAAGATGCTAACATCAGTCAAACATTGAATCCTTTAAGGTACACACACAACTAAAGCATTTGTTGAAGTGAGAAAGAGAGTGAAGGATGGTCAGTGTTTAGAAAGATTTAGACCAAGATGTTGTTTATAATCTTCAACTGAAGTGAGTAAGAATTAGCATGTAATTAGTTTCTTCTTCTTACATGGAATTTTGCAGTTTTTTCTATCACAATGATGTACCATTTATAATTGGTTTAATATATCTTTAAAAAAATATTTAACCAAAATATCCAAAACTTTGAAATTACTCAATCTTTTTAGGGTCAGTAATATCCAACCAAATACTCCATAACATGTAGGACCATGAAATAATACCTATCAGGAATTTGTGGAAATAATACATTCCAGAAATAATACAGAACTAGGGATTTTAAGAACCCTATCACAGAAAGGTCCAGATTTGCTCATTATCCCGTAACTACAGAGAAGTGAACTAATGTGAAAAAGACCTTCAACCTAACACTAAAAGAAAATGTACCAAAGATTTCAATATACCAAAGTATTCCATTCCTCCCAGGACTCTGATTAATTGATCAGTATTTTAGTTAAAAAAACATATTACAAGTTCACTACATGAAATAATACATTTCAAATTATTCTTAGTTCAACACATTTCACCAAGCCAAGATAAAACATGGACGGGTGCTATAAACATTAGACACAAATTTTTAGGAAATATCAAGAAGAATAATGTATGTGTGTTTCAACTTGAGTCCTGCTGTGTCATAAGTGACCATAAGATTTTCAAATTGGTAGCTTCTCTCCCCTAAGGATGCTCTGACATACATGAGACTTTATTTAACATATGAAACATTGGAAACATTACCCCATTATTCTAAAAAAGTCTCAGATATTACCAAAGAAACATAATAAAATGAACTGTGACTATCATTATGGTTTCTCACTGGTAGATATTACTGACAAGATTCTCTGTTGAATCACAGGACTATTGACTGTGAAAGATGGTCAAATGTACACTGCCAGCATTTTGATTTATTTTAAAAAGTAATGTAGTACAACAATTATATAACATTTAAAGTTTGACAGATTAAAATTTAGAAATCTTAAAGGTTGTTAACTACAAAATAAAGACCTTGAAACTACAGGTGATCCTTGAATAATGTGAAGGTTAAGGGTGCCAACCTCCTGTGCACTTGAAAATCTGCATTAACTTTTGACTTCCCAAAAACTTAACTTCTGATAGCCTTCTATTGAATGGAGGCCTTACTGATAATACAAACAAGTCGATTAACACATTTTGTGTGTTACATGTATTGCAGAGCAATCCTGATAATTAACTTATAAATGATCTATTATTTTAAAAATTCTGTAAGGACATTAAAACTGTCAGCTATAAATGCATACGGAAACAAAAAACAAAAAACTTAATATGTATTAAGTACACTATAATTTAGAATATTAGAAACATTGCGAATTAACTTATCAAGAGTAGTTTGAACAAGCTTGCCTTATTCTCACCATTTAACTTAAAATACTGAGCAACCGTCTTTTCTATACCTTGGTAAATTACTAAACTTCTTTTCAGGTCTGCGTCTTCTTCCAACTTATTATTCTTGCAACTTCAGTGTTGTGATTTATCCTCTAGGGTTCCTTTGATGTGAAGTTTTGGGGCAGTATCACTTCCTCTGGAATATTTTCACCACAACCATTTTCCTCATTTGTGCCCAAAAGCTAACCTTCAGCTATATATGTATTTAGAGTCTCTTGAAAAGTAGCAGTGTCACTATTTCCACAGTCAGCTATTTCTCTCTAATGCCATTTACATTCTGCTTTTCATTTTCTGTGTTACCAATTTTCATTTCTTTGCTGCATTTTCATCTCTGTTGACCAAATTTCTATTTCCATTATCCATTTTTATAAAATGTTAAGTGGAATTCTCACTGAGAAACAAGGAGGGAGAAGAAACACATGCTTTGCTGTCTGCATGAATTGAATAATATACAGTGACCAATCACTAAGAGTTTGAAAGTAGTGGTATGCCTGGTCACTAATCATCATGCACATTTGTTATCTGCATAGTGAGTTGTGGACTAAGAGAGGTGAACTTTGTATATCATTCAATTACTATGTTAATACACAACAGCAACTGCAATTTAAACCATAGTGTTGGAGAAGTGGCGTTATTTAACTAAACCATATTAAATTACATTTGTGTGTATGAAAGTCATGCAAAGAAAGAGCTACCTGTCCAGAAATGCTAATACAGTATAACATTAGGAATTGAAAAATTTACAGAAGAATCTTCAACATTTCCCCTACACTACAAAGTCACATAAATCTGAATGCAAGAATCAAGTAATTTAGAGGTGTTCTACAGAAATAATGAGTCCTTAACTTTCATATGTTGGATTTTTGTAACAACTAACCTTTGAACAAGATATATTGATACCCTAATATCATCTTTTGTAAATGGGATTTGGACTTTAATATATCAAGAAAAGAAAAGAGATTTCAAACTCTTATATGTTGACACTGTTGGCTAGAAATCCATACTGTTTCAGTTGTGTTGTCTGTCACCTTATTACAATAGAGTTTATTTGTGCAACTATGCAAATTTAGTACATTTTGACATTATTATATAAAAATGTGTGGGAAATAAAGTCAGCAGTAATGGTGATAAAAAAACGTAGTAGTTATGAGGTAACAACTTTTCCTGCCTGTGATGATTCCTAATATAATATATGGTAATCAACCAACAACCTATCTTAAGGCAGGCCAAGCAGTCCTAACCGCTATGTTCCCAGTGCGTGAGGGTAACCACTATCTTGGAGAAAAACAGGATCAAGAAATTCCTTGAGTTTAAGTTTATCTTAGAGAATTATCAAGTGGATGACTGGATGGTGACATTATGTCTCTGAGACTGCATGTCAAGCCTGTGCATACACACCACCCCCCATAGCCCTTTGCCCCATTCTTGAAAGACTTAAAAGGCAAAACCTAAGCCCTTAAGTGCACCACATCTCTGAGGTTGCCTGCACTCCCTGCTCTTTAAATGTGTACTTTTTGCCTTAAATAAAGACTTCTCATTGCTCAATTTACTGAGTTTTGCCTCTGCACTCTTCCAGTGGTAAGCAGCTTTGTTACTTTGCTATTTCATTCTATTTTTCAGACTTAAGCACAAGTTTTCACTCTCTATGTCCTACTTCAGAAAAGTAGGGAAGGGCTACTGAGGTCTCTGATTTGGGATTACAAGTTCCTGTTACCTGGGTGACCCAGACAGGACTGCAGCTGTATGATCATGCTCTTTAATCTCCCTTCTTTGCCTTTGTGAAGTTCTCAGAACATAAACTCACTCCATCCAGTGCTCTGAGGCTCCCCCAAAAACTGGGGTGGAGGTGTTTAGTTCCCATGCCATAAAGATTCAAGCAGACACTGGACAAAGGTGACACTGGCTTCACGGGTTGGCAAGGCATTTGCCCTATGCTGAGCAGTCCAATGAAGTTCCCTCTCCTCTCCTAGTTCTTCCTTGCTCTCTGTTGCCTCCAAGGAGCTGCCATTCACTGCTACTCTATCCTTAATGAATTTCTTCCTGAACTACACTCATCCAAACTAATGGATAATTCTTTCTCATTCAGGGTCAAACCCTCCACAGTCCAGGTTGAGGTTTCACATACTCCATTAGGAGAGACCTCCCCAGATACATCTGCACAGCAACAATAATAAGAAAGACAGGAGAGGTGGAGCCAAGATGGCGGCATGAGTAGAGCAGTGGAAATCTCCTCCCAAAACAACATATATTTTTGAAAATACAACAAATACAACTCTCCCTAAAAGAGATACCAGAAGACACAGGACAACAGCCAGACTACATCCACACCTGCGAGAACCCAGCACCTCGCGAAGGGGTTAAGATACAAGCCCCAGCCCAGTGGGACCCGAGAGCCCCTCACCCCAGCTTCTGGCAGGAGGAGAGGCGTTGGAGCGGAAAGGGAGAGGGAGCCCAGGACTGCTAAACAGCCAGCCCTAGCCATCCGCACAGGAGTGCAGACACACAGTGCGTGCGTCAGGTGCTGGAAACTAGGGAAACAGGACAGTAAGACCCGTGAGCGGGTCCCCGCTGCCGGCGCCCTGGGGACAAAGAAAAGCGAGTGCTTTTTGAAAGTCTTAAAGGTCCCAGGACACTTAGCCTAGAAGCTAGGAACCCCAGGGAACTCTGGGCACCCTAACCCCCTGTGCAGCAGGGTGGCTTGGAAGCCCCTCACAGAGATAAAAAGCCTCCCGGCTGTTTCTCCTCCCACGTGGCTCCGCCATATCAGAACAGCAGCGTGAGGCAGGCCACGCCCACAGCAACTGCAGAGCTAAACTCCATAGCGACCAGGCAAGAATCAGAGGCCCCATCTGCACGCAGCTGCCCAGCACTAGCCACTAGAGGTCGCTGTTTTCCCAGGAGAGGAAGGCCACAAACCAACAAGAAGGGACGTTCTCCAAGCTGTCACTCGCCACACCTCCGCAAACTATCTCTCTTGCCATGAAAAGGCAAAATCTGAGACAGACAAAAATCACAAAGTCAACACCTGAGAAGGAGATAGACCTAACCAGTCTTCCTGAAAAAAAATTCAAAATAAAAATCATAAACATGGTGATGGAGATGCAGAGAAATATATAAAAGCTAGGCGATGATGTATGGAGGGAGATTACAGAAGTGAAACAATCTCTGGAAGCACTTATAAGCAGAATGGATAAGATGCAAGAGGCCATAGATGGAATAGAAACCAGAGAACAGGAACGCACAGAAGCTGACGCAGAGAGAGATAAATGCATATCCAGGAATGAAACAATATTAAGAGAACTGTGTGACCAATCCAAAAGGAACAACATCCGCATTACAGGGGTACCAGAAGAAGAGAGAAAAAAAGGGGTAGAAAGTGTCTTTGAAGAAATAATTGCTGAGAACTTCCCCAAACT